TTACTGGCCAGCTGTAAAAATAAATACATAAATAAAAGGCTGGCTGGTTAGCTCAGTTGGTTAGAGCATAGTACTGGTAACACCAAGGTCCAGGGTTCAATCCCTATACTGGCCAGCTGCAAAAAAAAATTTTTTTAATGAAAATCTAAATACCCTGACAAAATTACAGCTACAAAGGCTGTACTACATAGCTAGTAGTTAAAAAAATAAAGCCATTAAATCATATCACAAAAGGGCCCGATTTCTGAGATTCTAAGATATGCTTTAATCAAATATAAATTATAATCAATCAATTATAAACAACTCTTTTGACTTCTCTTGAAACACTTACCTCCTCAAGAAGCCGAGTAACAGCGTCTATGTCATTATATGTCTTAGTCATCTGGCCAACTCTTTCAGCACATAAAACTGTAAAAAACAAAAATAACAATGAGACTACTGATGCCACAAACCTGCCAAACAAATGATCCCTCTAAAAAAGTGGCCCAAAAGTTGTACATGCATATCAGGTACAACCTACACTGTACTCAACACCACCAGGTTCGTAAGGAGGCCCAAGTTTTGGGGATGTTGGGGTGAGTGTGTGACTTCTAACCCCTGTGAAGCACGGACACTGCGTGTCTGTGTATGCACACACCCATGTGCATATTTAAAGGTGGTGCCAAGGGGGAGGTGAGGGAGTGGAAAGGCGTCTGACCTCGTATAAACTCAGCAAACTGAAGAGTGTAGAGAGGGGCAGCAGCCCAGCCCCCAACATGTGAAGTGTCTGAAAGGCCTGCAGGATCTAGACCCCACTAACTGTACAGACCCAACCACTGGACAGAGTGGGATCCTTCAGAAAGCAACTATCGTTATAATTATTAAACAACAGTCTTGGGTTGATAATTTCATAATGGCACAGCACCCTCTTACTCAACTGGCCTATATTCTAAGCCTACGCATCCAGTTTCCACACCATGAAAACCATGTGACATATATTTTTAATTTACAAGAAAAAGACTACTGCTATTGGGGACACACATACACACACACACACACACAGCGAAGTTTCAGTACATGTACAGTTTACCGTGGTCATAAGATGCTGCACACAAGCCACTTTAGGACTGTGTGTCTTTGTTCTTCCATTGCTGAAAAGGGCTGTGCAACGACAGAAGGACTCTGTCTGCTAAGAAATGTCAGGGTTGTTTCGTTTTAAATCAATGGCGAGATATTGATTTGTAGCTCAACAAATACCAAGAAGGTAGCATAAGTTTTATTCTATGGGGGAAAGAGTGAATTGAACGTAAATGGATTTAGGGCTGAAGCACAAAATTTTTTGGAACCTATTACTTTGGGACTAAATAATAACTTAGAAATGCTTTGTAAC